TCGTTTTATTTAAATATTTAATAATCTAATTCAAGCAAAATTACAGTACCAGTACCAAAATTCAGAAAAGTTTGTATTCCTTTAAGAGACAAATAAAAAAAAAGAAAAAAATATTATCGTAACTTGTAATTTCAGCCCTCCAGCTGAAACCTGAGACTGGCGGATAGAATTGAAACAGAGATTAAACATCTGAAAAAATCTCTCAGTGTTCAGCGCACACACAGTGACTACCACCGATTTAGCCGAGGTTAGCTGATCTGTCATTTATTATAAGTAATTTTATCGTCAAATCCTATTTAATTGTCTCTGTGCGCCAATTTCATAATCCATATTAATTATTATTTAGATTTCTTATTGCAATCTGACAAACCACACAAAACAGTACAAAAAAAATCACAGTAATACCTCGCTAATAACATTGAAATGTACGATCGTTTGAGATCGGTGCTTCCAATGAATGAATGAAGTATAGCTATGGAATGCTAGTGAGAGTGATAGTGCCAATAATATTTGAACTGGAATAGCATTATATAAAATAACTATACAGTATTGTTAAACAATAAGACGGTTATCTTTATATTTTATTAAAACCATTTCAAAATGTATTTATATTATTAAAATATGCTGATACTCACCCAGCAAACAAAAAATTCATTGTAACATTCGTGAACGTTGTGAATGTTTTGGTTACGTTATGCCACAAATTAACGTTAGCACATCGTTGCAGCAACGATTTAGTCAAAACTTACGTCAAAAATACGTATTTATGATTCTATACAAAAACACCAGCTGCAACGATATTATAACATAGTTGTTAGCTGGGTTGAGCTCTACCGTACATTATATTCAGTTTCAATATTATTAAGGCATAGTCCTAATTATTATGGTTTTTATTAAGGTTATTTCTAGTAGGCTTATTATACATATTATCATTATAACGAGCAATACAAATCCTAAAAATCTAGCTATTTTACATATATACCGTAACGATTGGGTCTTTAATATTATATTACAGTATTATCATTTATATTTGTAAATAATAATGAAAGATATAATATATAGCACCTTTACCGGCGGGGTTCAAGATCTGAGAATTTTATGAAGATTCAGAAAAAAAAAAAAAAAAAAACATTTTCAGAAAAAAAAAAACCATTTAGAAGCCAAAACAAAATTTTGAGAACGCAGTCGTCCAGCGGAACCAGTTAACAAAGAGACATCATCTGTTAATTCCAAAAGTTTCTGAATAAACACCAGTTTTAGTCGGGAATAATTTTACCTTTCTCTTTTAGACATGTGAATATGAATTATTTTCAGGTAGTGCTTTATCTTTATCTTTTTTGATTCCATATTCAGACACCTCAGTGTAAACTGATTCGATGTCTGCTTGTTCGGACACCTGGACACCAACTGAGTGTTTACCATCAATCACCTGTGGACTAGATATTCCATCCTTTGGTTCGAAATATACCTCTGGTTGTGCGATTCGCTCGCCGTATATGTCAATGGACTGTGGCAGTTGAAAGTGATAAAATCCAATAATGACGGCAGTGAAGAGAGCAATACATAGGCCACAGCTTCCGGTCACTGCGAGAATCAGAGCTGTTGACCACGTAAATTCAGGACCACCGTCTGGAACTTCTGGTGTTGGGCTGACGGTGGCCTTAGAATCGTGGTTCACTAATAACGTTTGTGTCACGCTGCTCGTTCCTACTGCGTTATGACCGATGCAAGTTAAATTCACCTCCCGCACAACTGTCGATTGGGTTAATACCAGGCGTAACGTACTTCCGTTATGCTGCTTGTAATACTTAACGGTAGGATCGTGATGAAACTTAACTTCCCAATCGTACGTAACACTAGTTGGCTTAGCAAAACTCGTGCACACGTAAACGACCTCTTGCTCTTTTCGTTGCTTGTCCAATGTAATCTCAGTTGCACCATTGATAGTTATTGATGGTGCAAAGTTCACGTTCACGATACTAAATGAACAATTTTTACGAAATCGTTGAGGGTAATCGTCATTCGGTGGAGTTTGAGAGCACCAGAGTAGGCCTGTTACTCCATCGTCTGAGCGGTGAGCCTCAAATGTAGCAGTATATTCGAATGTAGATTGTATATTGTCCGCAGGTTTGCCACTTAGTAACTTGTCACCTTTATAAATATTTAAGCGTACACGAGGGTTCGTGTTTTCTTGGGTACAGGTGACTTTGACTATCTCACCTTCGTTGTAACTACCATCGAGCCGAAGACAGTCGGGATTAGGTGTGGAAGGAACCCTAGTGACGTTTAGCACCGCTCTCTTTGACTCAACTCTCTGGTTTCCATCGTTAACGGCGACACAAAAAAACTGTTTACCAGCATCGGATAGTAGTACTTTAGATATTTTTAACCAAGATAAATTTACATCTACAGATGTGTCTTCGCCTCTCTTTACCGTGTAGCGGTCATTCGATGTGATCTCTGTTGAATCAACAAACCATTTTATCCTTCGATAATCCCTAATGGCACAGTTTAAAAAAACTTCGGTTCCTTCATAAACGTCTCTATTTGCCGGATCTGTTACGAACGTCGAAGCGCCGGCCAAGTTGTTACAGTGTAAACATAAGACATATACTGTCATTAATGTGTCCAAGTGTGTGTAGTCTCGTCGCCGACGGTCGGCCATCGCGCTTGCTAATAGCAAAGACCACATGAGGCTTAGGTACATTCATTCATTCATATTGCACTGTTGACTGCATGAACTTTGTTATCGTCTAACTGCTGGACCTCACAACAGCACAAATTAACGACGACTTATTCAGTTTTATCGATTAGGTAATTAAGCTCAGAGTGCTCATAACAAATTATTATAGACTTTAGCCAAACATTGACGAACCTTAGCTTCAATCTGAAAGAATAAAAAGAAATACACGCCTTAAGTATGTTTCTATATAACACACTATGTTACCATGGCCATAGAGCATACGACATTATTTATTTAAGTATGTCAACTACTACCTAATAGGGTCCTTATTTTTTTTATACATTGTTATGTAAATGATATACAGAAGATACATTAACACAATTCTATACCAATAACGAAACAGTATTTTACTTTCTTAGTTTAAAAAATGATAATAGATGTGGATGGTAATGACTTTATAGCAATATAAATGCTCAACGATTATCACGTGACCACAAACGTAGAAAGTGTTTGCTTAAAGATAAGCAGGAAAGTGATGAAATAAATATAAAATAGAGTTGAGTTTCGAACCAAGTTAGAATGTTCGACTTGCTCAATCAACTCGAAGATAATCATCATTAGTATCAATGCGCATTGTAGCAGAAGATATCAATAGAAAACCATGCGGTTGAGTAAATGAAGTGCTAAAGTTAACGCCAGTCGTGATGAAATCAATAAACTTATGATGAGTATAATTACTTCCACAAGGCAGACAACATTATACGCAGTCATGCGGCTACTGTTGTTACGCAGCTTTAATATTGCGCCAATTCACTCCAGTCACTCACCAACTTTCTTTCATGAGACATTATATGACTTAGGCCTACCATTATGTTTATAATACAGTATGTATTTTGACATAGCACGAACAGTAAGTCTAGTGTTTTTAAACTTCCCAAGAAGTTTCGTAACGCCCTGCGCGCACGTAATTGGAGTTGTCTGCTTATTACGTTGTGAGAGCGTATTCGTGACGTTTGGTCAAAGCAGATAGATTGGTGTTGGCGGCTTAGGCTCAAGATGTCTTTCACGTGACTTACTCCCTCGCGCAATGTCTTTGATCGTGTGTCCTTATTATTGACCTTATACAAATAACACACATACTTTTATCTATAGTATATCAATACTAATAGTAAAAGTAACAATAATATTCATTATTATCATTATTGTTATTGTTATTTTTCATTATCGTTTTCACTAATATGATTATTTATTGAGCAAAATGATACAAGAAATTTACAAAGTAAACAGCAAGGGATAAAAAAACCGCAACGGACACTCTACTAAGAAGACACACAAGCAGCCTAGTCCACCTTTGCTAGTGAGGCATGTTGTTCCGTGATTTTAACTCATACACCTACTTTTGCTACGCGACTTTTTCAATCACTCGTACTAAAACTTTAAATCATATACAAATTAAATAAAGACGTCAATGAAGTAGACATAAATGAGCTGTTAAATAAGGTGTATCGAGATTGTTGACATGTCATAAAACAACAAGGTAACCCTAAAGGGTACAGTACATCGGATATTTCATACGATGCATATATAACGAGAGACAAGTCACAAGAAAACATGACTTCTTAAAAAATGTAGAATTATGACGCCTCATAAAACATTAAATTCATAAATCACTTCCCACAACTTCTCGTTAGAGTACGGATGTGGTAACTGTTTGTACATATCATTAGGCATTTCACGTGATAAAAATTATAGAAATAAACATATTTTGCATGCCGTAAGTGAAGTACAGCGATCCCTGTTCATTGACAATTGATATTCCTTGCGAGATTGAATTAGCAGGCGCGTAATGAAGAGAGATGGGAAAAATGTGAACCATTGGTATTCAATTGAAAGAAATTTTGTTATGTTTATATACCGAGTTTGGCAACAGTAATATTATTCCTAGGCATATATATACAGGCCTATATAT